GTATTATTATTATTATTATTAAATTATCGTTTTTATTAGTGATAATAATAATTACTAACATTATTTTGCAATGTACGTCGTGCAGTGAGGGCACAATATAAATTACAAAAGATGATCACCCGACCCTGATTCGAGTCTGTAACCTTCCCTGTTAATAACACTCTGTGTATGTCGTGTTGGTTAAGAGAGCAGGCTGGCAGTGAGCGGTGTTCAAACCTGATTTCGTTTTATCTTTACATGTACCGGTATTTGACCCATGATAGAAATTGAGGACTTTAAGTGCCTTGTCCTGGTCCCATCAAACTTTTCCTCGTGGTCCGCTGTGCCCAGTGCAGTAAAGATTATTTACGAACTGACCTTCCTCCATTTCGCAGAATTTGCAAGGCAATTTTATTACCGTACCTCAAACTAAAAAGTAACCCTCCTGTCCAAGTACTATGTAGTAGGTATCGTATACTGTAGGAATGAGTAGCGGTGTTTTGCAGAGTGTTCGAGGGGGCTCTCGTGGCCTTGGGGTTAAGGTGTTCGCTTCTCATTCAATAGGTCTGGGATCCGATTCCGGATAGCAACGGACATTTTTCTTCCCTAGCCTAAAAAAAAAATTCTCCTTTCACATCCTTTCCTGCTCTGTTACAAGTTTCTGTCGTCTGCTTTCGTCTTCACTTTCTGCCCCCTCCCCCCACCCTCCTTTGCCCCTCCTCTGTACTACTGGCTCTTTCTTCAGCCTTTCTACTGCTTCTCCCTGGCTCCTTCGTACTACTGTGTTTCAACCACACCCCTGATCTTATAGTAGGTGAGATTTACACCTAGCCTTCTCGATAGAAAAGGGTGAAAAATCTCGGAGGTCCGGTGTGTAAGTTAAAGATCCCTAGGTGACCCAAAATCGACAAGAGAAGGCTTCGGCCGCCACCCGGACAAAATTCAAAATTTCCTGACGACTGAAAATGTTTGGTGTGTTGCGCAAGCTCATATGACCTTTATGCAGGTCCGAGCGCCATAACC